TGCCTCCAGCTTTTATAAAGAATCAGAGCTGACAAAGAAGATAACAACAGCAGCATGACACAGTAAAGGAGGATGGTGACTTCTCTTCTCCCCGGGTATTGTTGGAATGGGGAGGCTGAGCCAAGCTTAAGTGGTGGAATTTGAAGTTTGTGGGCCCAGGCCAGCAGCAAGGGATGATGGTGCCCTAATGTGGCAGCTTGTGGGAGAAGGGAGACTGGAGTGGGATGGATAGGCGTAGGGACAGAATCACAAAACTGTACTGCTTCGTGTTCGAGAAGGCTCCCCTCTCCCCTCTTCCTCTCTCCCCTCCCCCCTCATCTCCCCACTCTTTCTCCTCCTTCCTCTTCCTCCCCCCTCTCTTCCTCCCTCCACTCTCCTTCCACTCTCTCTCTTCCTCCCCTCTTGTCCCTCTGCCTTCCAAGCACCAGGATGGTCACAGATAGTTTTAAGATTTGGTCGTCTGTGGGACTCAATTTTCATAGAAAAACATGTACATCAAACCACAGAGCTCTGAAGGACAGAGAAGTTCCTGAAAAAAAAAAAAAGGCACAGATTTCCCTATGTAAATTGCTTGCCTACTGCAACCATAATATGTGCCCTCTATGGTTGTCTAAAATATTCAGGTACCAATAAGAGCCTGCTTGACCAGACTTCCGAGACTAAAGAGAAAGCTTGAATGCCACTGAGCTAAATGCTTTCTCTGCCTCTCTTGATCCTCATTCAATTTTCTCCTCAAGTTCTCTAAAGCTACCCTACGGTCTCTTCAATCCTAGTGTATAAGTCTTAAAGCAAACCCCACAGGCTGTGTGGATGCTCCTCCTACTTCCCCACCCTTCTCCCCAAGAAATTCACTGCTCTCCACTGAGCCAATGAATCAAGTTGATGCCACCCAGGGAAACGACGTTCAAAGCACCTGTAGGCAGTGGGCACAATTCCCAGAGTCCTGCTGCACATGGGATACTGTACTAATAGAAGGAAACAAGGCCCCCCACACCAATGTCATTAGGATGGAGAATGGTAGGAAATCTCATTGATTTGGTAATAGAAGATGTCCCTCTGGGCTTCACCTGGTATCACAATCCAGAAAAAGTGCTTGAGACAGAGGGCAGAATCTAATATCCATGTTTACCATCTTCCATTTATCACAAAGACACCAACACATTCCCCAATATAAAATCTCATTCATAAGTGAAGTTCTTCAGACTTGATTCACACCTGGGTCTTTTTAAATAGTAGAAACCTGATCCTAGGCATACAAGAAGAGCTAGGCATAACATAGCACACTTAGTAATGCCAGCCACACTTGGTCAGGGCTGCAATGGCTGCTGCCTGTCTCTGGCCTCTGTTTTTAGCATTCTGTGTGATGAATTACAGTATTCCATAAAACTATGTGGCAGGAAGCTGTGTCTTTCTGTTCTGCACTCAAAAAAGCATGACCTCAGGTAGCTAAAGCTGATGGATCAACCAAACAGGAACACTACCCCTGCTAAGAGCCTGGAAGGGTAATTACTCTGATGGGTCCTCTGTTTCACAGGCAAAGAATCCTGAGAATGAAGATCACTGCCTGCCCTTTTGTCTGGGGAAGAACCACTGAAGGAAAAAGGCTATTGAAACTCAGGAGAGGTAGAGGCTAGGGAGACCCAATGGCCTTGACAACAATAAGGAACACGTATACATGTTCAATGGTTTCTGTTGCACTCCCTCCTGTTCTATGCCAAGAACATACATTCCCATCTTGGGAAATTTTACTATAGCTGGCCTCTAATATATTTGTGCCTGCTCATGTCATGTCATATCCTAAGAGATTTGTGCAGACTAGCTTAGACGACTCTCCTTTGGATATTTCTGATTGTTTGGGCAAGGAGAATCAAAGTGAGCAGAAATTTGTAGATTCTTAACAGTTCTGATGTGGGAAAAAGCATGACATCAATCAGATAGAGAGTGGGACACCCCCCCCCAAAAAAAAATCAACTGCAAAGGGAAGAGACATGCTGGCAAATGCCATCCCCAGCAGCAGACACAGGCCAATCCCAAGAGCAGAAGATTAGCATTTGTAGTTCACAGCAGGCTGGCTAGGAACCATCTCATAGACTTTTGATTTTGCCATCCCTGCTCCCTCCTCAAGAATGCTCTTCCTAGTTGAGATACTTTAATCAGTCTTTGTCCAGCACCCTACAGGGAAAGGCGATTACCCACTACTTCCTATTCAGGGACTGAATAATCCAAGACATCCTGGTGTCACTTAATCTAAAGCGACTGGGTGACTCACTGTCCTAGAGAGGTCTCTCCAAGATATTTAGTATAAGACAAATATCTCTATGCCCCCCTAATTTAGATGATTCCTCTAAGTTTCGAGCTTCAGAAAACTCTTGGTTTTTGTTAGCCTTTGTTTGCTGTAGTTGCATTTCGATTTAAATCTATGTGCTATGCATCACCTTGGCAGGAAAGCACAAACCTCACCCAGGAAACAGCATGCAGCCATCTTTCCAGTTGGTTCTCTGGTGATCATGTGTAGTAAGGTGGTCACAATAAACCACCATCTTAGAGCTCCTTAGAGAACTTGTCTTTACATTGTTACTGTATGATGGCTCATAACACACCGAAACTACCCTCAAATCTTACACCCACTCTCAGTTATTTTGGCCCTAAGTGAATATTCCTTATCATATTCTTAAAGGGACTCTGACTTCCCATTATTTTCCAGCAGGGCTTTGAAGCCCTACTCTACCTTCAAAGGCTGCAGTATACCCCTGACACCCACACCTAATCTGTCTCCTTACTTCATCCTGAACCCCATCCCATCTCTCTTGTATGTTCCCGGAGTCAAACAGCAAACATTTGCCATAGTAAATCCTATTCCTTGCCTCCCACACAGCTTCTCGTTCCCGATGATAAGCTGCTACACAGACAGATAACAACTGGGATATGCAGTTATTAAGGACAGGTTTTAAAATGACAAAAGAATACATTTTAAAATAAATCCCACTTGAAAATCAGCTTCCCTTCCAACTCAATTACATCTAGACCTCCTGCTCTGAAGCTCCTTATAACAGAGAAATTCCAGCTCCCACTGGCTTCAGGATTTTTGAGGATGTTGCCTTAGCAACACAGAAGGCCTAGACACCTGAAATGGGGAGTGAAGGATACCTTGCTTCCCCTCATTCAAGGACCTGGAGTGGCCAGCAGCATACAGGCATGAGATGTACAGGACTGTCTAAGAGGAAGCAGAAGACCCACTGACAACATTTCACACACTGTGAGAGCCCTGGACCTGGAGCTGCGCTAAAAGAATAGGGTGAGAGATACTGAAGGAACTAGCAGACAAGACTACAGTTACTAATTCAGAAGAGCACTCAAGGATGACACACCCATACACAGTGTTGATGTGAACGGCAGTTTCTGCAGACTGCCATACTCTACAGTCTCACCAGACTGACGGGATGAGCTCCCCTCTTCTTCTGTCCTCTTAACAGATGAAACTTTCAACAAAAACCCATTTTTAAATAGTCCTGGCACAGATGAGTACCAACAATTCAGCTCTGGCTCTCAAACAAGTGTCACAGTTTTGGGCAATCCCTTGCAGATATCATGAGCCAGCTTCAACGTCCTTGACAATGCCAATCAACTTTAACTTTATTGGGTTCACAGCATAGTCATTAAGGTGGGGGGCACCACAAACAAACTGTTAGGTTCTAAGATGTCATCAAGTTATATGAACTGGCCACCCCTAGACTTGATATGACCAACTCATGGCCCCATCTTCCACTACGAGATGACTAAAAGACCCTATTTTGCTCATTATACTGGGACGCCAGGACACAATAGCCTTTCCCCAGAGAGACATTTCTCCTATGTGTGCTGCCACTGCCCACCTCCTGTGTGGCAGAGCTCATCCCTCCTCTACTCCACACACTCATCCCTCTTCCCTGATCCTCTAGAAACAAAACCAAGGTCCTCCATTCAGGTAGTAGTGTGTCATTATAATCTAAACTTTGCCTATCTCTTGGCTGCAGACCTCTCTGATAAGAGTTTATGCTGCACCTGTTAAGTCTTTGTGATTGACAAGGTCATCCTGTGTCTCTGAAGTACTATGTCTGGTGGAGATCTCCACCCCTGCCCCAGTATATGGCAAAGGTTATATGTGATTACATGTACCTGTACCATGGGTTGAACAATCAATGAATGTTTTCATCCTTTCCCAAGAAGCCTGAGCTCCTACATATTAGCACGCCCATCTCTGGCCCCAACAGGCACATGATCCTCCTGCACAGAACATTTCTGGAAAAGCTTACACAGCAGCTGAGTAGACCAGGCACTGTGTAGTAGCCTCTGCCCTTCCTTCATACCCATTATAAGCCCCACCCAGGTTCATCCAGATCATACCTGAGAACTGTCTTTTAAATCACTGTTCTAAGCCCTTGACCATTATAATGACATCTTAGTCATTCATCAGAAGAAAGACATAGTACCACTGGAAATATCCCTCTGATCTGCAAGGTCTGCATCAAATAAAATATCTCAGTCATATCTCTTGAGTCATCCTGCTCTCCTGGCTCTCATTTGCCTCTCCAATGGACTCCAGGTGTCTTTGTTTCACCCCTGAGGCTGGCAGACACACTGGCTCTACCTTCTGTCACCAGCCTCAGCCACACTTCACATTTGTTTCAGAAGCTAGGTAGACTTCTCAACTCTAAGTAAACCTGTTGCATCCAGGCAGAGCCCTACTAGTCCATGGAACCAGAAATGGTTCCCAGGAACCCCTGCTGGACTCAGGTTTCTTCTATTAGCACTTCCTGCCTGAATTCTCTGCACTTCCTCCCCAGAGTGATACAGAAACATCAGCATTAATGGCAGCATCAAGGAGAGAAGCGGGGGGGGGGGGGGGAGGACTTTTTCTGTCAGTTATCCCTTGCTGGGAACAGCAGGCATGAACCAGAGCTATTGATGCCTTCAGAGGCACTGAAGCAAGAAGACCAGGGGATGAGGACCTCAGGGCTTACCTTGCGCATGTCTTTGCCAAAGGTCTCACTATAGGTTGTGCCAAGGATTTCAAACTGGACGTAGGGATTCGAGCTGTCTTCACGAAACTCCATAACTCCTGTGAGGCCAGTGATGTGTCCCTGCAGGACAGGAGGAAAAGACAAATGGAGGTGGTAAGGTTTGATGTGGTAGAGAATGGAATGACCAAGAGGACAGCAGATATGACAGAGCTATTAATAACCCTAGGACATCAGAGAAAAATAAATGCTTCTCAGACTATCTTAGTCTTATGGAAGAAATCCCACATGCTTTTACATGCCATTACTGTAGTCAATGTGTTTACAGCTATTGCTATGCGACAGTGCTGTGCTAGTCATGAAATTAAATGTGATTGTGTTTGTCTATGGACTCCTGAAGTTTGAGCTTTGCCTTTGCAACCTGTTCCAGAAGTTTCACTTGTCCTGACACAAGGGAAAGTAAAACGTCAACAAGACTTGAGTCCAACATATGCCTTAAGTTTAGGCAGCAAATACGAACATTGCTCTAGGCTGCCTGGCTTTGCTTCATGTATCATCTTGGGCAGACCACTGGCCATCTTCCATTTTCACACTGAATTTAATCTGGTCTATATCACAAAGCCCATCTGATGAAGAAAAAGGTACTTTCAGAGCACAATATCTACCACAGAATGCCTGTGGTAAATATGCAAGTCCTGTGACTCTCTACAGTTCAGCAGGGTCTACAGGAGCAGTAGACAGTGTGGGGCTGAGCCAGTTGTGATGGCCTCCCTTCTGTCTTTCAGTGTGGGGTGTGAATGTGAATATTACCCAGCCTCCTTGCCTATGACTTCAAGGAGATGGGAGTGCACCATAAGCTGCACTGGTCCAGGAGAGGACTTGCTCTCTCTGAGCTGCAGTCAATTTCAACCAAAACTGGAACACATTCATTGCAACTGAAGCCATGTACATTTTATTGTGACTAAGGTTCCTGACATTGTAGATTTCCCTAAATGTTTCTCTGAAGTCTCTAAAGGCCCATTACTCTAAGAATTCTTCTGTGGGTTACCCCAATTCACTTGGAATCTATCCTCTAACACAGTGCCACTCTCTCACACATGAGACACACATGTGCATAGTGCATGGGCACAGACAGATGCACATTCACACATAAATACACATGTGTCCTAGATAAGCAATATATGGTCATACCACCTAAGATAAGCTTTTGCTGAAAATGGATAGCTTGCATGAAGGAGTTTTGGTCAGGCAAAGGACAGGAAGTTATGACTTTTACTTACTTGTGATTTGGGGCAAGTCATTTAAACTTCTAAAGCCATATATCTTGAAAGTGTGGAGACATTTGAAGCACATGTCCCTGGACCACAATTCACTCAGCTTTCAAATAGGCAAGGAAGTGTGACACAGAGAGGAGTCTAAAAAGAGGACTCAGGCAATCTCTCCAACAAACAAATATACACACATATGTATGCACACACACACACACACACACACACACACACACACACACAATAAAACAGCTCTATACCAACTGAGTCAGGTCACAGCAGGGATTTATCTATAGCCTTGGGCAACCTTACAAAGCAGTGCTCCCTCACACATACCTTTTTAATTGTGTCTAGCATGGATCTCCCTCCATTCCATGGCTTGGTAGACTTCCTTATGCAGTTAAGGCTTGCCATGCTGTGCCATTTCCGGTCCTCCAACTTCCTGTGGAAGGCGTTGGCCAGCATCAGAACACTGTCATACAGGTACAGATTGGAGATCTGCAAAGAGAAAAGAGAGTGGATTTCTGTTTTCTGATGCATTTCCAAAGAACAAGGTGAGGAGCAAAAGGTTGGGGTGGTGTGGGAAACAACAGTATCTTCTCCTCCAGTCCTGAGAGCTCTGTGGACAAGGAGCCTGTGGCTTCATGATATTTTCTTTATTTGCTTTTTTATTTTAGCAGCTCAACCCAAGTGATGAAGTTAGGCTAAGAGAATACCTAATCTGCCTCACGAATAGGATTAGGGGCATATCCACACAGCAACAAGGAGAACCAGTGTGGTTGGCATCATGATTGAGTCTTGCAAGCAGATGCATCACCAGTTCAGATAACTGGCACAGAGCAGTAAGATAAAGATGAGTGCGCTAAAGGGAGGGCCGAACATGTGTAAAAGCATACAAGTATAAAGGACCAAAGCTTCTGTTAAGGGCCAGATAGTAAAACCTAGGCTTTGAGAGTCTTACAGTCTCTTTTGACTACTGTCCAGCAAGGCTGCTAAAACATGAAAATATCAAGAGGTAATTCATAAGCAAAGGGTGCAGCTGTGTGCCAATAAAAATAATCATTTATCCAAATGTACACTGTGTTAGATTCAGCCCAAGGGCCATGGTTGGCTGACTTCCCCATTCAATCCGATGGAGCTAACAACATGATCAGAAAGGATCAAGAGGAGGCCAAGATGCATCCATGCAGAGCCTTATAGGATATGCTAAGGAGGAGCAGCAGGAGATTTGGAGAGATGGATGCTACTGATGAGCTATACACAGATTGCTGGTGATTAAGCCCAGACACAGGAAAGACAACCCTAGTCACTGATGGGTCCAGAGTGAACAATGGCCTGGATGATGTTACAGCAGTGAAGAAGTGGCAGAGATTCCTATGCCTGGGATTTGTAAATTACGTTGGCCAACTTCAGTGAAACTGGCCCATAGAGGAAACACAGCTCCAGCACAGAGCTTTTGCCAGTCATGAGTGTGGGGAGCTGAGGAAGCCCTGATGGAATGTGAAAAAGAAAGGAACAAAACAGATGAAGTCCCCAATAAAACTATATTGTCAGCGTCAGCTTAGCCTTGTCAAGGACGAATGCATCAGACCTGTGGAAACTGTCAAAGCCTCTGCGATACAGGCCAAGTTCAGAATCGACCAAGCCTTCCTTGGTTCAGGAGCAAATGGGGCAGTGTGTGCAAGTACAAGCGTTTACAAACTACTGACCAATGTATTCAAAAACTAACAACCATAGCTTCCCCCCTCCTAGTTTTTACAGCCTGAGATTACCTTGTTTGCAGAGACCTCCTACTCTGACAGGTTAACCCCATCCATCTGTGCTGTATTAATAAATGCACTGGGATCCTGGGTTGTCACATTAGTTGGTGCCACTTTATCAGAGCCTCTGACCCCAGCTGTCCTGTGCATGTGTCTGTCCTTTCTTCATTCCCTCACCACTCCAGTCACGTCTCCAGACCCAAGCCATGGTAGATGAGAAACGGGAAAACTACTGTAAAAAGCAGCACTCATATGATGGAGCCAAGCTGTTTTCACAGGGCAAGGATAGAAGTTTGGCTCACCACCTTTGCTTGGGATGAGCAGGAAGACTGGGTGCCCCAGTCTAAGAAAACCAGAAGGAGACCTCAGCATGGAGGAGAGAAGCCTTTCTCTCAAGGAGTTCCCCTCATGATACTACATCCTCCAAGAGGGCATCAAACCCCAAAGGAAAACAGAATAATTGAAGAGGTAAGAAAGAAACAACATTCATTCTTGAATACATTTGGGGCCCCTCATTAATATCTTGTATAATCAGTCAGACAAACTGGGTCAAAGGAACCAATCTCTGCATCTCCAATCAGCAAGTAGCCTGCTAAAAATATTTCAGAGAACATCACTTGTTATAAATGGAGAGAAACAGGAGACAATATTGACCTCACAAGACTCCTGAGAACAAATAGGCTCTTTGTACTACAGAAAGAATCCCTGCTACTTCTCTGCATCACCAACTCCTCCCTAACTGCCCCACTATCCCACACATTATTCTCTGCCAATAATCTTAATATGAATGTCACAGAAGCAGCAACTGTCCCTCCAACTAAAGCTGAAGTCAGACACAGACCAAAGAAAGGAGATATATAACAGCAAAAACATCTGTTATATTAAGTCCATACACAATCTCAGACTAGCTCTCTCTTTGTACTATAACATATCCAGGAAGAGCTAAGTATTTCCTCTATGCTGGCCAATAATGAAGAGTTTGGTTCTGTCTGCCACTGAGCAGTGATTACCATAGACTTCATGACATAGGGATAAAAATTGGATGGATATAACAGAAATGACCAGAATGTGTTCACATGACTAATTATTGCTAACAAAACGATGGTCCCAGTCCAAAGGGAAGCTACATACCAAGGTCATGGCCATCACTCATCATCATATGCCTGAAGCACACAAATATTGTCCTAACATCAGAGAAAAGAACATTTCCTCCACTGGGAACTTGTCCCTGACTCATGCAGAAGGTGATGACAAGACTATGTATCCTCAATTTCAAGCTTAGAAGAGCATTTTCTCAATGAGCAAGGCTAACTTCATAATCATGACAGCAAAACATCCCCCAGGAGCACCTACCTCTGCAGAAGTGTATTGATGTTTCTTTTCCCCTCTAGAATACAATCTCGAGATGAAGATGTTCTTACAAAGGAATGTAAATCACATATAAATTGATTCAGAATTTGGGGATTTTTATTTTGTTTTTGTTTTTCTTCTGAACAGATTTAACTAGAAGATGAGAGTCCTTGATGGTGTGAAGATTTTTTAAGACATTTATGGAACTCCAAGCTGGCTACTCATATCTGGTGCTATTCAGTAAGTCAGGACCCTTTGACCCATGCCCACACCTGTGGATTCCCTCCCACATCAGAGCAGAATCTAAAGATGCTTCAGTGTGAGCCCAGACTGACACTCAGTAGCCTCTCCTTCTCCTCCAGCACTTCTAATCACAATGAATCAAGGCACTCAGCAAATGTGTGAATGCCGAGAGGCCTGCGATGAAGAGGAAAAGGTGGAATATGAATTAGAAAAAAAAAAAAAAGCCTTTAGGCCTTTAGTCCTCCCATGATCATGCCTGCCTGGGAGAATGAATGGTTTGTAGTTCAAAGAAACAGGTTTCAGGTTTGAGAAATGTTCTTTTCCAGGTATCGATAGAACTTTGAACCACTCCCATATCACCCTGGATGTACATCTACACGTCAGCTCAGAGATGTGTTTGCCTCACTAAACTCTGAGCTCTTTGGGTGCTTATCTCTGGAAGCTGTCACAAATAAAGACACAAGTCTGGTGATTGATCAATGTTTGATTGATAAATGTCCTGTGGATACACTTACACATAGATAAAAAGATGATAAATAGATAGACAGACCGATAGGAGTAGGTGGGAAATAGATGAGTGGGTGGATTGGTGGGTAGATGAATGAGTTAGTGGATAAATGCTAGGTGGGTGGATGATGAATAAATAATAAATGGATGACTAGATGGATGGAGTGATGGACAGTTGAAATGGATAAACAGATGACAGATAATATGAATGGATGGATGGATGGGTGGATGGATGGATGGATGGATGGATGGATGGATGGATGGATGGATGGACGGATGGACGGATGGACGGATAGACAGATGGACATATGATATAGGAGGGAGGTTGGGAGTGGGTGGATATATTGGCTAGCAGATGAATAGATGGGTCTTTTTTCAAATTAAGAATTCACATATTAATGCTTCATCTATATTCTTCAAATCTAAAGCATAAGAAGAAAAAGATGTGCTAATTCCAACTTTGAGAAGAAACTTCCTTCACTGAGAATCTACTAAAAATGACCTATTGACCACACCTTCCCTGCTATTTGTACCTACTTAACTTAGATACCTTCCCCCAAGAAGAGGTCTCAGTACTCTGCCCAGCCGTAGGCAGAAACTAACATTTCAACATTGGTCTATGTATCTACCATCTATTTTCCAACCTTAGTATACACATTTTTGTGATCTACTTTATCAGAATGCAATTGTGGTTTCACATTGGGGATACAGATAGCTGGAAGGTCCTGCACTCATGGAGAAGCAGTTTTGTGCAAAAAGATCCAGAGTCGATTGTACACAATGCTCAGGGTGTTCTTCAGATCCTGATAAACAAAGAGAAGGCTTTCCTCAAGGCATCAGTGCTAGCCACTCCTAGGAGAGGTTGAAATGAAAGAGAATCCTAGCTACATACACAATCACTCGTAGGAAATGAAGGACCATCAGTAGCTCTGGCTAGAGCTACAATACATAAAACAGAAGAGGAGCATGAATTGAAGGAATCCGTGTTTCCCTCTCTCCTTTAGAAGCAAGGTACTACACAAACTTTCTCAGCCAAGAAAAAACATGCAAAGCATATTCTGTCCTAGACAAATCTTCATATCTGTGCTTAACTAGGTTAAGAGAAAAGACTGATCTAGAAACACTATAGCACAAAGTAACAGGAACCAATAAAGTATTCCAGATGATGGCAAAATTTAGAGGTCACAGTATCACAGCCAAGGGTATGACAGAGTCATGGCTGCCAAACCAAAAGAAAAAAGAAAAATCTAGAACCAAGTCACAGTAGCCATAGGAAATGCAGTTGGGAACAGAGAAAAGACAAACTCAGGCAAAGTCCAATGTCTTTTGTGGAACCTGATATTGTATTCTAAATGGGCAGGAAGCTTCTGGAAATGGGCTGTGTTCGTTTAGCCACTTGAATACATACCATGCTCCTTTCCCACTTGCATATTACAGCTCTCAGCCTACTTTGTGGACAGTTTGAAGGGTTCCTCTGGATGACAGAATTATCAACAGGTTTCCATGCATGATAACCTGGGCCAGATTGGCTCACAGCCTGACCCTCTATGCCCATGTCTACAGTACTGTATGAATGAGTGTATCTGACACTCGATAAATGTTAACAGAATTAAATCTTTACTCACACTCACTTGCTGA